AAGGAAATCCACGTGTCTGACCTTGAGATGTTGTCAAGGAGTCAGCAGATGGCAGCAGTTCCCAACACACAGGTTTATAGAGGCGTTCTACTTCCAAGTCAGTGTGATTTGTGTGTTTATAGTCCTCAGTTTTATAGAAATGCCAGTTGGGTGGAAGAGTGCTTTTAAGAAGTAGAAAATGCCTTTAAGAAAGCAAAAAAAAAAAAAAAAAAAAAAAAAAAAAAAAAAAAAAAAAAAAGTTCTTAAAATTTAATTCTTATGTTGTCATTTTGTTAGGTATTAGGACCTCTTTTAAAATAACGTGTTTTGTTTCTTAATATTTAGAGAATTCATTCAGTCTTTATGTTTCCATTTATCTGAGAAACTACTTTGTTTATCCTAAAGAAGTGTGTCATCTCAGTACGTCTTTAAATCGCACTTAGAATGGGAGGAGAGTTAGTGGATTCCATATGAAACCAGCATTTGTGAGGCTTTGTCATGGACTTAATGACATGCCTGCCTTAACTGCTTGTTAGTCTAGCTGAGGTGCCTGCCAGTATCTCCAGATTAGCATCTCTAAACCTGCATCTTACCTTATTTTCTACAATTGCATTTATTAATAGGGAGCCACTTATTTACCCGGTTAAAGACAAAAATAAAAAGGGAGGAGTAAGGTTGAACTATATGTTCTTCATGAATTATTAAAAGTTTTATGTTATATAGAGACATTACTCATTCAAATTCCACTTAATGAAACATCATTTTTTTAAGCTTTAGCATAAAAAAGAGAAAGGGAAAAGGAAAAAGGATGTTTTGTTTTTCTTTCAAATAAGCTTAACAGTTATTAGTGATAAAAGCCTTTCTCCAGAAAAGATCACTTCCTTATAAAAGGGCAAAATTTTAAATGTCAGTGTGTAATAATACTAGTAAATGGCTTCCTTGCTTAATTTTGCTTGACCATTTTGCCTTGAACTTGGGTAGTGCTTTCTGTAAACATGTGTATTAGAAAAATGCCTCGTCAATTCAAACCTCATCTTCTTAGCTGTTAACTAAGAGGCCCTCAAACTCCTGTTTAGAGATGTTTTTCTTAAATACATCCATTTCTTAAATACAGTTCATATATGATTTACTGTGTCATTTATATACACTATAACACTATATTGACCTTATAATTTTTGTATTACATTTTATTTACCCAGGAATTTAATTAAAAATTTTATATAATGTGTTAGCCTGAAGAAAAACTGAATATGGTAGTTGCATTCATAATTTTTTGTTTGTTTTTTGTTTTGCTTTGTTCTTGCAGGGGGAGGGGAGTATTCCAGAAATTGCAGTGAGATCTGAGGTATCATTTGTTTAGAAAAACTTGAATAGTGGTTTCTTCTCAAGAAAGTGTGGAATACAGGAGAGACAATTTTTGGACTGGGGTCAACCAGGATTTGAATCTTAGCCCTGCCATTTTTCTTACCAGTGGAATTCTAGGCAAATTATTTAATCTTTTTGAACAGAGCTCTTTTTCTCTTAAAGTGTGCATAATGATTACAATTTCATAAGATTTTGTAATAGTTAAATGAGATGGCAAAAAGTCAAAGCACTTATTTAATATAACACTTGTACATGTAGTCATTCAGTAAATGTTCCATTCATCAATGAAATTTTAATTCTTCTGCAATTCAGCTGTGAAACGTTACTGCAGAATTGTTTTCAATAGGTTTGACTATAAATAAACCTTTTTTTTTTTTTTTTTTTTTTTTTTTTTTGGTCTGGAAGAAGAAAATGATTGGGTGGGACTAAGACATTATAGATGCCAGTATCATAAAGCATTATTATGAGGACACTTTGTAAAACTGTCAATCGAAGTTATTCAGAAATAATTTAATACTCTAAGATTTACAGAAGAAAATATTTTTATTGCATACAGTCCATTTAAAATTAGATGTACCCTTTGAGACTTAGATTTCAAAAATTAGGAACATTCAGATCGCTTTCACTTAAACTATCATTTAACTTATGTAAGAGAGATACTGTGTTTTCTTTTGTATTTTAATTTATTTTAGCTTTATATTTATATATTTGAATGTCTTAGTCATTATATTGGATATGAAATCATTTATCTGATAATTAGACTTCCAGCAATCTCAGTTATGTGTAACCTTACATTTAAAAGAAATTGGTTTAGGGGGGTTCAGTTGGTTAAGCATCTGACTTCTGCTCTGGTCACGATCTTGCTTTTCATGAGTTCAAGCCCTGTGTTGGGCTCTGTCCTGTCAGCCTGGAGCCAGCTTTGGATCCTCTTTTCTCCTCTCTCTCTGCCCCTTCCCTGCTCATTTTCTCTCTCTTTTTCAAAAATAAATAAGCATTAAAAAAAAATAAAATAAAGTGGTTTAAAACAACCTTCGTGATTCTGTATGAAGTGAAGAATAGTGATTTAACAGGCTTAAGCTCTGTGTAAAGATCTTTTTTTCCTTTCTAACAGACTAGCGTGTGTCTGTATACACCTTATTCTGTGCTGTCATACCACAACATTTAGTTGCTTAAACATATATGGATTCTTACTGTATATATTCTGCATCTTTTTTTTCCAGTTACTATTCTGGAGATCTTTTTAAATCCACTTCAGTGTATTTAACAGTTGTTTGGTATTCCAAAGGATGGAATTTTACAATTAACCATTCCTTCACCAGTGCTCTCCAGAAAGAGATGCCAGGTACTCATCTGTAGTTGAACACATTGTATTTATGACGTTTTACAATAGAAGAGAATCCACACCATGGAGAACCACATAGTGTTTCAGTAAGAGGATGTTAGAAAGGATTATAGCATTGGGATTGTATTAGGTGATTTTTTTTCTGCTTAATTTTTTTAACCTTAGTTTTCCTACTCCTATTCTTTTTCCAGTTAAACATTTTGAGTGATAATGTATTTCTGGTTGAGTTGTTAAGGCTCTTTATATGCTATCGATACTAGTCCTGTGTTATTTTTGTGGCAAATATTTTTCTCCCTGTCTCCTACATGTCTGTTATTTTTCACAGGAAGACTTTCTCCACCCTGAGATTAAAACATGATTAATCTTCTAACAAAGTTACTTTACTTTTTCTTTAAAACATTTATATTTTTAATCTATCTGGAATGTGGAATTTGTGCATGCTGTCAGGGAGAGAGTAATTTTTTTCCAGAAAATCTCTAGTATTTGTTGACCACTCCATTGTTTTCTCACTAAATGGAAATACCACATGATGTTCTAAATGCCTACATAGGCATCATCAACCTGCAGTAAAATATCTCTTTATTGACTCCATTTAACTGAGTGACTGGAGTAACTGGTATTCTCTATTTCTTCTATTTAATATACTGATTGAAGCCCAAAGTAAGCTTAATGTTTACTGCTAGTAGGCCACTCAGTACTTCTATGCTAATAACAGTTCTGTTTCTGCTAGTGAAGTTTTACATCACTAATACTCAGATTTGGTCATTCTAAAATCATTCTGCCGGCTGTGCTTGTCATTGTATTTTCATTGTTTAATCAGTATTGTGTAAATCAGTAAAATATGAATACAAAAAGACAGGAAGGTGCCATTTCAAAGAAAACTAAACTGGATGCTTTAGAAAAAGACAGTGGGTCACTACAAAACTTGTGGCTAGTAATGACATTTTGTATGGTTTACTTAAATTTTGTTAATATATACACAGATCTAAGTAATTATAGGAACAGAAAATGAAATACATGAATCAAGAATTATTTTGGGCCTGTAGGAAAATCTGTTAACTGAAAACTAAAGCTATACCACCACCACCAACAAATTATTGAGCTGAGTACATTTTGATGTATAAGGTGAAGTCTGTTTCCTGAAGTGTAGACCTTTTGGTTTTTTTTTTTAAGTTTATTTACTTATTTTTAGAGAGAGAGAGAGAGATAGAGCGCCAGCAAGGGAGGGGCAGAGAGAGAGGGAGAGAGAATCCCAGGGAGGCTCTGCGCTGTCAGTGCAGAGCCCCATGCAGGACGTGAACTCGAGATATCACGACCAGAACCAAAGTCAAGAGTTGGATGCTTAACCAGCTGAGCCACTTAGGTGCCCCAGAAATGTAGACCTTTTTATATATTTTCTTGTAAAACATTTTAATGATGGAGCCATCTTACAGCTTTAAATGGTAAGGATATAGATAACAGTAAAAATGTGTTAACAATAACCTAAGTTGTTAATAGTCTAAATGTCTAGGCTGATGTCTAGGGAGGCATTTAGAACATGATGTAGTATTTCCAGTTAGTTAAAAATACTGATCGTTAACTCTAAACTTGAGAATGAAGAGGGACACCTGGGTGCTCAGTCTGATTCTTGATTTCAGCTCAGGTCATAATCATGGTTCCTGAGTTTGAACCCCACGTGGAGCTCTGCACTGATAGTGTGGAGCCTGCTTGGGATTCTCTGTCTCCCTCTCTTTCCACCCTGCACTTAACTCTCTCTCTCAAAAATAAATAAATAAACTTAATTAAAAAAAGAGAGAAGAATGAAGACCAGATTACTACAATGTATTAGTTGTCTTTTGCTGTGTAGTATCTTACTTCAACATGTAGTGACTTGAAATAAAAAACATTTGTCATCTCACTCAGTTTCTGTAGGTCAGAAATCAGAGTGGCGTAGCTGGGTGGTTCCTGTGAAGGTTTCTTATGACATTGTAAGCCAAGATGTCAGCCTGGAGAGCAGTGATCTCAAGGCTCAACTAGGGCTAGAGGATATACTCCCAAAACAGCTCACTGTGTGCTGGTTATTGTCAGGAGCCTTTATGCCCTCTCCATGTGGGTCCAAAAGAGCAAGATAGAAGATGTGATAGAAACTATGACCAAGTTTGAGAAGTCACATACCGTCACTTCAGTCATATTTTATTAGAAGAGAGTCGCTAGTACAGCTCATCCTCTAGGCACCTTCTCTTAAGAGACTAACCACTACACTGCAGATATTTATTCTGTGTATACGGATGAAGGGGGAGGAAGGATTCATTAATAATGTTGGGCTTCTTTTTAGGATACTGCTTTAGGAAAACCACGAGAGGTGTTTCGACTTCCCACAGATTTGACAACATACGACAATCGCCTTTGTGCATCTATCCATTTCACATCTTCTACCTGGGTTACCTTGTCAGATGGAACTGGACGATTGTATCTCATTGGTACAGGTGAACGTGGAAATAGTGCTTCTGAGAAATGGGAGGTGCGGTTTTTGTTATATATTTTTAAGACTTATGCAAAGTCTGGAAAGTATATATAATATAGACCTTAGTGATTTTGAAATAACACTTTCTGGGCATAGCTTATATGTGACCTCTTTGTTTTTATAATAGATCATGTTTTGGAAATTTTTAGTTATATAGTATGTACCTTTTACACAACTGATACGTTAACCATTTCTGGTTTGATCAGGGGTCGTTGCAAATTGTCAAGAATTGCATTCATATTTTCATCGCATGTTGAGTGCTTTATATGTGTGTAAAGCAGTACCCTAAGCATTGGTATTGCCTCCTTCTTGAAGAAGAGTTAGCCAAAAATTACATTGGAATATCTTTTCTCCTTTACTCATGTTATATTTGCTGATATCTTTATAAGCCCAGCACACTTCTGCATAACCACTCTGCTTGCTGTCTGGTAAGTTGCCATCGGTCAGTGAGTTGACCAGAGTATTCCCCATTTAGAAAAATATACTGTAATACGCATATAGTAATGTGCCAGTCTCTAAGATACTATTTTTATTTCAGTTTTCCTTTTTTTTTTCCTTTTGTTTGTTTATTTTTGAGAGTCTGCACTTGTGTGCCCGCACCAGTGGGGTAGGGGCAGAGAGAGAGGGGGGGACAGAGGATCTGAAGCAGGCAGGGCTCAGACTCACGAACTATGAGATCATGACCTGAGCTGAAGTCAAGACGCTCAGCCTACTGAGCCACCTAGGTGCCCCTATTTCAGTTTTCTTAAAGCAATGTAATATTTTAAAAAATTATTTTTTGAGAGGTAGTGAGACAGAGCATGAGTCTGAAGCAGGCTTCAGGCTCTGAGCTGTCAGCACAGAGCCCAACATAGGGCTCGAACTCACGAACCGTGAAATCATGACCTGAGTCGAAGCTGGACACTTAACTGACCGAGCCACCCAGGCGCCCCAACAATGTAACATTTTTAAATCTAAGGGGCAAATTAGGATTTTAGTAAGTAAGGAATTAATTTCTCCAGAGCCACAGTTTTTGAAGGTGGGAAAGAATGACACAGAGTTATACTAATAAGTATATTGTGATACTTCTGTCTAAATCTCAGCAGGTGGCCTTTAGTTCCAGGTAAACAAACATGAACTTAATAAATATATTTATATCTTATAAAATATTTTTATCAGATCAGATACCTACAATGATCAGGCTTTAATTATTTGAGAAAAACCAAGAAGGCCTTAGAACCAAATGGCTTACCTTCCTAAGTTATATTAAATGGTATACTACCAAATTGTAGTAATTCAAAAAACTAAACAAAAAACATGATAAATAACCAGAACAACGATACCCTGTTTAGAGGGGACCTTCGCAGGCCTTTGTAGTGGCAGATTCAGATATTAATTGGACATTGTGACATTTTCTGCTTTGGCCTCCAGTGATATTTTTTTTTCTTTTTTCCCCTTCCTTCCTTCCTTCCTTCCTTCCTTCCTTCCTTCCTTCCTTCCTTCCTTCCTTTCTTCTTCTTTTCTTTCTTTCTTTCTTTCTTTCTTTCTTTCTTTCTTTCTTTCTTTCTTTCTTTCTCTTTTTCTACCTTTCTACTGAGGCAGTGTGGTATATAGCATAGCTACCTGAAACACTTGGAAGGAAAGTGATGGGCAGGAGAGATATGAATGAGAACTTATTATTATCAAGCTGTGGATTCTGTTGGTTTTGATCAGGAAGAGACACACTGACCGAACTCACCTTCAGCTTAAAAATGGCACCACATACTCTGCCAGAAGGAAATTCATATGGGTTTATAATTTATTTGGTTTCTGCTGTGTACATCCCCATGGTGCATATTAGTTTTTAGTAATATTTTTTAAATCATAAATTTAAATCTACTTCATGCCCTCTTTAGTATACACTGGTGTAATGAAATAAGTATGCTCTGAGATGTTTGCAGTGAGTAATAGTTTTAACAGGGGTCTGGGAAGAGGGGGAATGGGATAGGGTTTGGATTTGGGCTTTCACTGAGGTGGGAGGGATACTGTGGAGTACTGGTCACTTTAAGAGAAGCAACTTAGGAGAGTTTTGAGACTTTGGGGAAATTGGTGTAACAGAGGAGGCTAAAGGTGCGAGTGGTGAGGGGGCACAGTAGAGCATACAGGGGCCAAGGAAGGGCAGTGATGACTGAAGTGTAGGAAGAGAAACAAAGGGAGATAGGAAGACTGCCTGCTTTACAGATGTGTTGGCTCTAGTATGATGGGTTGCTGTGTATCAGCAGTACCATGTTTGAGTTGCTGGGCCCGTTCAGGAGACAGGAGCCTTCAGCCTAACCATTTATAAAAGTTTAGACATCGACTCCGCGGTCTCATCCCACCCCTTTCACTCACATGAGAGACAGAGAAGAGGAGGAAGCAATAAACTAGCTATTTGTACCTGACAAAACTCAACCATTTTTCCTTCCTCCTTTTTGTCTCCCAATGTCAACCAACTGAAACCTATCTTTATCATCTCAGTTTTGAGTATGTGAGGTATTTTTGGTTGTTACTGCTGTTTTCTGTTTATGGAAGACTGTAGAATGGATTCCAAAGGTCTACCATTTGAATAATTTGAGAAGAGGTGCTCATACATTTAGGGAAATTGACATTAAAGCACACTTTTCTTTATAAGGCTTTCAACTAGGAGCAGATAGTAAGAGATTCTAGATAAAAGGATTCCCCCCCCCGAAAAAGTTTTTTTTTTTTAAACTAATTTTTGTCATTTGGATGTTTTCCTTCAACTCATTTATTTGAAAATCTTGGTTAGCCGACAGTCTTAAAATATCTTTTATTTGTTATTTACTCTTAAATAAAATACAGTAATCTTTTAGATTATGTGTTTGTGATATAGAAAAGAATTTGTTAAGATTTTATGTCTCTATGATGCCTAAACTTGCTCTTTAAAAAGAAACTTTAATATTATATTTAAATAGAGTTTGTTGAATTATAAGTTTTTTTATTATAACTTTTAAATGTAAACGGTCTCTTTTGTTTTAGAGAAATAAGAGTTTTAGTGATATGTTCTCCAATTCCTTTGCCTCTGACCTTTGCAGACTTCCAGGAACAAACAGGAACAAACCAAAACAAAAACAATAGGAAAAAACCATACACACGCACATGCGCACACCTGTGCACCAGTATGCACAACATTCAGAAAGTAAGAGGAACAAAGGAGAAATAAATCATATATGAGATAGGAGAAGAGACGAGGGAGACCTGCTTCTCTTCTATAGAGCGCTGTAACTTGGTAATTCTTTTCTAGGAGGTCACTTCTAGTTCTCTTTCTCCTTTTGATGCTGTTTGGATGCCTTTTTGTTTACCATGTTTTTAAGCCAAGAGTACTGGCCAGTTTTCTCTGTGAAATAAATAGGTGTCTTTCAAAAGTTCTTTTTCAAAGAATATTAGTTGAACTTGCAACCTTTATTTAAAGGCTTTTCGCATTTTTCTACTCCTTGTAATAAATAGCATCCAATTAGTTGTTATATTGTCAGAATTTTGTGCATTCCCGCTGTGCTGTGTTTGTAATATGTACATTTATGTGTGTGTGTGTGTGTAATCTTTTTTTATTTTAGATTATGTTTAATGAAGAGCTTGGGAATCCTTTTATCATAATTCACAGTATCTCATTGATGAACGCTGAAGAACATTCAATAACTACCTTACTTCTTCGAATAGAGAAAGAAGAATTGGATATGAAAGGAAGTGGATTCTACGTTTCTTTGGAGTGGGTCACTATCAGTAAGAAAAATAAAGGTAAAATATAACTACAATGTGAATCCACAGGGGTTGGTGCCATTTAGTAGATTTTGAAATGCAAAGCTGTTCCTGTAAATGCTGTTGTTGCTGTGATTCTAATACCCCACATCTAGTGGGATGAATTCCTATAGATAATTTCTCCTCAGGTATATATTGTTATAGAAAGAATAACTTCCGGGGAGCCTGGGTGGCTCAGTCGGTTAAACGGCCGACTTCGGCTCAGGTGGTGATCTCTCGGTCCGTGAGTTCGAGCCCCGCATCGGGCTCTGTGCTGACAGCTCGGAGCCTGGAGCCTGCTTCCGATTCTGTGTCTCCCTCTCTCTCCCCGTTCCCTTCCATTCACTGCTGCTCTGTTCCTCCTCTCTGTCTTTCTCTTCAAAAAAAATAAGAAGAAATAAAAAAAAAAAAAAAAAAAAAAGAAAAGAAACAATAACTTCCACAGTCAGTTATGCCTTTTTGTATAAAAGGAGACATTCTTACATAATTTTGAAAGAATTTAAAGTGTATAATTTCAGTATATACAAGACTGTACACATATATTCTAATGTGTATATGTATCACATACAAGGATTATGTATATAAATGTAAATTATAAATTGTAGAAAAGTCTTGACTCTTGGGCTGTTTGAAACTGTCAGACTTCTAACTTGGACATTAGAAATTATTTTTCACTGTATTAATTAGGATTCCTTTAATGGTGTGGCCTTGTTCTTCACCAGTGCTTAGTTCTTACTATTGTTGAAAACTAAGGGAGCTTGTTTCCATGACTCTCTGCCCTTTTTCTAAGTTTTTATTAACTTACATAACTTACGGGCCTTAAATTACAGTTGACCCTTGAACAATAGGTTTAAATTGTGTAGTTTAAACTGTAGAGTTCAGGTCCACGTATACATGGATATTTTTTGATACAGGACATTACTGTAAATGTATTTTCTCTTCCTTATGAGTTCTTGAATAACCCTTTCTTTATTCTAGCTTACTTTATTTTTAAAAATACAGTATATAATATATATACAAAGTATATGTTAACTGACTGTTTTTGTTATCAGTAAATCTTCCAATCAACAGTAGGCTATTAGTAGTTAAGTTTTTGGGGAGTCAAAAGTTATATGCAGATTTTTGGCTGCATGGGGGATCTGTGTGTTTTTTTTTTTTTTTTTAATGTTTGTTTTTGAGAGAGTGAGAGAAACTTTGAGGGGAAGAGAGAGAGGGAGACAAAGGATCGAAGCAGGTTGGGTGCTGACAGCAGAGAGCCTGATGTGGGCTCAAACTGAACCATGAGATCATGACCTGAACCAAAGGCAGACGCTTAACCAGTTGAGCCACCCAGCATCTCTCATGTTATTTCTTAAGGTTTCATTCTTTTCACCCCCTTAAGTATTATTTATATAATTGTTATTCTTTTCCTTTTTCTTTTTCAATGAATATAACAGCAGTGCTTTTCTAAACTGTGTTGAGTGGAACATTTGATAAACAATGTTTTGTAGTTAAATTGAAAATATGGGCATATAATAGCCCTATTTCACATTAAACATGTTGAAGATTCTAAAAATGTTGAGTAAAAAAAAAAAAAAAAAAAAAAAAAAGACAATTAGAGCAAGCATTTCCCAGCTCATTTAACCATGGAGTTCACTTGAAATCCACATGTTATTTTCTGTTGCACACATGTTGGGAAAAGCCACCCTGTAAACCATGTAGTATCTAAGTCTGGGTGTTTGGAGTCCGGTAGGACTCTTTCCCTTACACGTACCTGTGCAGGAAGCATAGGAGTTTTTAGTTCATTCGTAAATTTACAAGTCTTTTCTTAAATATGTGTGAAATGAAGGTGAATGTAGGTGAAGATTTAGAGGAAAACAAGGACATATATTTAAAACAGACTGTATCATGTATAACACGTGACATTGGGTTACAATTTTTGACTACTTATTGTGAAGCTTGTTAAAGTAGTACAGCTCACTCTAATAGAGTAACAGTGTAAGTAAAGGTAAGGGCACACACAAAACCAAACCTGTTTTCAAGAATAAATTCAGTTATTTTACCAGTAATTTTCATGATACAGTTAATTTTATATCTTTTCTTTATATCTCATATCTTAAATTTTATATCTTAAAATCAAGTATTGGGGCACCTGGGTGGCTCAGTTGGTTAACTGTCCTACTCTTGATTTCAGCTCAGGTCATGATATCACAGTTCATGAGTTTGAGCCCTGCATTGGTCTCTGTGCTGTCAGCGGGGAGCCTGCTTGAGATTCTTTCTCCCTCTCTCTCTCTGCCCCTCCCCCATGAGTATACATGCGTGCTTTCTCTCTAGGTAAATAAACATTTTTTAAAAAATTAAGTATTGGGACACCTGGGTGGCTCAGTTGGTTAAGCGTCCGACTTTGGCTCAGGTCATGATCTTGTGGGTTGTGAGTTTGAGCCCCATGTCGTGCTCTGTGCTGACAGCTCAGAGCCTGGAGCCTGCTTCAGATTCTGTGTCTCCCCCTCTCTCTGCCCCTCCCATGCTCATGTTCTGTCTCTCAGTAATAAATAAATACTTAAAAAAATTAAAAAAAATTAAGTATCATTATTTATGCTTGATTCATTAGGCATATAGGTCTGAATCATTTCTACCATAAACATTTCATTTTAAGGAAACCCCCTTAAGTAGCTAGAATGAGCAGAAAAATAGTCCACACCATACCTTTACTTTATCCTTCGTTTGTGGCTCTTTTGAGCAGATGCCTATCATGTACCTGCTGGGGAAGTAAAAAGGCTGTAGTAAAGGAAAAGGTAGATCATTCAGAAGCTGATATTTAGGTAAGTCAGTCACTTTAAAGTCTAGAGCACTGGTATCCAATGGAAATGTCTGCAAAATGGACATGTTTTATGTGTGTGCCATTTAATACGGTAGCAGCTACCCATGTGTGGCTGTAGAACATTTGAAATGTGACTAATGTGACTGAGGAATTGAATTTTAAATTTTACTTAATTTTCGTTAAATAGCCACTATGGCCAGTAGCTACCACATTGGAAAGCACAATCTAGAGCAAATTTCATCAGAGCTGGTATTTTAAAGTAGGGGTGAATTTATAGAAAATTAGGTTATAAACTTTTTTAGCCCTATGAAAAGACTCTTGATAGCATGCCTTTTAATAGTACACTTAAAATACTTAATTTTAGGGCCGCCTGGGTCGCTCGGTTAAACGTCCAGCTTCGGCTCAGGTCATGATCTTCCTGTCCCTGAATTCAAGCCCCACCTGCATTGGGCTCTGTGCTGACATCTTAGAGCCTGGAGCCTGCTTGGGATTCTGTCTCCTTTGCCCTCTGCCCCTCCCGTGCTCATGCTCTCTTTCTGTCTCAAAAATAAATAAATGTTAAAAAAAATACTTAATTTTAATTAAAATTAATATACAAATATTTTCAGGATATTTTATAATATAGTGTTTTATTTATAATTTTTTGTTCTGAAATAGTTTCTTTTTTTACAGACAATAAAAAATATGAAATCATTAAGTGTGATACTCTCCGTGGAAAGTCAGTGCCGCATTATGCTGCTATTGAGCCTGATGGGAAAGGTCTGATGATTGTCTCCTACAAGTCCTTCACATTTGTACATGTTGGTCAAGATCTTGAAGAAAATAAGAATGACAACTTGTCTGAGAAAATCAAAGGTAATTTTAGTGTTCATAGAGCTCATGTGTGTTTATGTACATTTATGTCTGGTTTGTCTTACTGGTTAGGTTATGGGTTCTACCAGGACTAGATAGAGGCTTAATTTTCCTTTGTATTTCTCAGAATTGTCTTTTGTAAAATGTGCTACCTAAATAGTGTGAATTGTTTTAATCAGTAATTTCATAATTACCAAGAATGTTTTTAAAAAATTATGCCTTTATGAGATGTTTAGTAAATACTTATTAAATGAATAAATAATGTCTGTTTGTTATTGGTGTTTGTGAAGCTAGCATATTAGTATTGAATATATTAATCTTTTAAAATAAGCTAAACTGTGTTGATTATAGGTATATACTAGTGTACGTCTTCTGAATTTTTAGTGCTAAGGTTTAAAAAAAAAGTTCTTGAGGGCCTAATTGTTAAGTTTTTCCAATGTTAAATGAATAAACGGATGAAGTGAATGTTTTAGAATGAGGACAGTAACAAAGTCTTTAAAATTTATATTTACATAGGAAGAATACTCTTACATTCAAGAGAATATCCCCCTGTAACCATTACTATTCATAATCCTGATGTTTACAACCAGAGAATAGTATATTTTACTTGAGATTTTCGCAATATTTTCAGTTATACATATTAATCTTTGAATGTCCCTCTTTTGTTAATTATATAAAATAAAAATTAGTTTCACTATATTTATTTAGAACTTTCTAAAGAAAAAAATTCTTTGAAAAGTATTTGAAAACAGGGATGCCTGGGTGGCTCAGTTGGTTGGGCATCTGACTTTGGCTCAGGTCATGATCTCAGGGTGCGTGAGTTCGAGCCCCATGTCAGGCTCTGTGCTGACAGCTCAGAGCCTGGAGCCTGCTTCAGATACTGTGTCTCCCTCTCTTTCTGCCCTCCCCCACTCATGCCTGTCTCTCTCTCAAAAATAAATAAACAAACAAAAAAAGAAGAAAAGTATTTGAAAACATTAATGTAATAAATATTTTAAAAATATTTTCCACAGGTTCATAAATGATATGCACCTTTGAATAAGAGAGTTATGCTTTGATGGCCTTTTATTTAGCCTTTTAACAACTTGGTTTCCCATGTGATATGTTTTAATGTTAGATTATCTCTAAGATCCCTCTCTGAATAAGTTCTACTCTGTCTCAATTATACTGTTAAACTTTTCTAGAGCTTAGCCAAAAAGCTATTCATATCTCTAGACCACATGCCCCTTAGAACTCTTGGTGAGCAATTGCAAAGGAAATGAAAGAATGCCCTAATCTCTGGAAACATTCTGCCTAGTACCTGAAACTATGTGGTTCCAAGACAGATTGTAGCGTAGGAGGGATACAACATCTGTTTATTTATTTTTTTTTTTTTAATTTTTTTTTTCAATGTTTATTTATTTTTGGGACAGAGAGAGACAGAGCATGAACGGGGGAGGGGCAGAGAGAGAGGGAGACACAGAATCGGAAACAGGCTCCAGGCTCTGAGCCATCAGCCCAGAGCCCGACGCGGGGCTCGAACTCACGGACCGCGAGATCGTGACCTGGCTGAAGTCGGATGCTTAACCGACTGCGCCACCCAGGTGCCCCAATACAACATCTGTTTAAATCATAACTATCAGGTGTTGTTTTTCTTGTTGACATCTCACATTATATTTTGATTTCCTTCTGAATACATTAACGTCTTTCCTTCCCTTTTAGTGTGAACCTCAAATCCCCTGTATTTTTCTGTGTACCTTGTAATAAACACACTTTACCTATAAAGGAGAAATGTAATTTTTAAAAAATTATGGATAGTTTGTCATTTATAGCATGCTTTCTTTTAAGTAATCATCTGAGAATACATATGGGTTTCATTTTCTATAAACCTCAAGAAGACTGATATTGTCTGTTGCCAATTTGGTGTTGTCATAATGATATAAGTAAGAGCATTTTCTTAGAAAGACTTGAAACAATTTCTAAAACATAGGCACTTAGCAACCAACAATTGAAAAAATTATTTAGTTGTTTGTATAACTTTTAGTGGACAGAAGCTTAAAAAATTCTGGCTTTCCATTTAGTCTACTTCCATGGACTTTAAGTTTTACTAGAAGCTCATGTGATTTTGCAGACTCCTCCCCTTTCCATATCTGGCAGAAGTTACCCATTGAATCATTGTTACATATAAACTGCCTTGTTAACTTTTGTGGTAGACAGAAAATTGAGTAAAACAGGTAACTTGCCTTAAGGAGGTTATAGTTATCAATCTCTTAAGCTGTAGTTCAAACTTTCTCAGTGAATTTATACTAAAAGTACTTCTAAAGAGATAACAGAGAAGATCTAAGAGACTGCTTAAAGGAATATGATGCAATTTAGAAATTAATCCAAAGTAACAATTTTATCCTGAAAATTTATGCATTTTTTATGCTTATTCCTGTAGTATCATGCTTGTTAAATTTTATTTAACATCAAATAGAAGTGACCCTTTAAGAAGATACATCATACTTACTATTATATCTTTGAGCATAGCTAGTACTTACAAAGTTTTTACACAAAACAGCACAAAAATAAAAAGAATGATACCCCCCTCAGAAAAGAATAATAACCCGCATTTACTAAGAGTTTATACTATATGTAATAACAAGATTGATATTGAATATTTTATATGCATTAACTCATTTAAATTTTAACAGTTCTGTGAGATAATGTCATATTTTGTTATTTTATTTTACAGATTAGGAAAAAGAGGGTAGTAGATAAAGTTGTATACCAAGATTAATAAGTGGCTGAGCCAAGATTCAAGACCTAGGACTAGTCAACTCTGGAGTACTAGTTACTAACCACTATGTTATATTCCTTTCTGATGAGTGTGTGGACAGATTAATGTTTATGGATATCATTAAGCAAATAATTATTTACTTCTTAGCAAATATTTATTCTTTTTGCATTTAAGCCCTATTTTCTTATTTCATCCTATGGGTATTTCAACCTGTAGCATGATGAGTTTAAAGCTTTTTCTAAGAGAAGCCAAGGAGATCAAGAAGGAGGTGAAGGGAGGATACTTTTATTGGGAACTTGGACAAAATACACTGGCAACCGTTGAATTTCCTGTGAAATTGCTTTCATGCACAAAGTTGCAGAGTAGAATTTATAAATATATATATCTTTTATTTTTATGTGGGTACGTATCTCACCAAATAATAGTTGTCTTCTGTATCACATAGTTACATTGTTAGGGCAAATCAAAGCAATGGTGAAAGTTTCAGACAGTGGTTTATGACATATTTGTTACTCCTTTGAAGTAGGAATCTGCTGTGTTTGTAAAGGGAAGAGAAAGGAGGAAGAAAAGGGGAAACTGGGAGGCAGGGAGAGAATGAATGGGGATAAAGGATTGCTGTCATTAGTATTTTATGAGTGCTTATGTCTTGGAGCATTAGGTAAGCCTGGAAGAGGAAATGTCAAGTGCAGTTGTTATAACTCTGAAAATTCCCCCAAAAGATCTGTGTGTGTTTGTTTATAATTACTTTGTTTTGTAAGAAGATCACTAGAAATTATGCTAAGATTCCTTTAGATAGGTGTTCTTTTGTGTGCTCCAGTGTCTCATTTTGTGTGTTCTGGTCTCCACTTTTTTATTACATAATGTATTTTTCTTTTCCCAATAGAACCTCTGTATTACTGGCAACAGACTGAAGATGATTTGACAGTAACAATACAACTTCCAGAAGGCAGTTCTAAGGAGGACATTCAAGTACAGTTTTTGCCTGATCACATCAACATTGTGCTGAAGGGTCAGAGGTTTTTGGAAGGAAATCTCTATTCGTCTATTGATCAAGACAGCAGTACATGGATGATTAAAGATAATAGGTATACAGATAGAGTTGTATTTATATTTAAAAATTTTTTTTTCTTTTTTTTTTTTTTATCTCTTCTATAGTGGTTACACCAAAGTTGACTACTACTACAATAGGTCTGTCTGTATTGCTGATTCTTTCTTAAGACAGATTAAAAATGGAATTACTGTATCAAAATACATGATTATCATTAAGATTAAAAATGCTGGTAAAGTTATAGTTTGTATTCTATGGTAGAGTTTTTATTATCAGCTCTGGAAAAATAATGACAGTAGTAACAGTAATAATAGATAAAAATGGTTATTTGTTTTAATTAATACTCTAAAATTTTTTAAGAGAAAAATCTCTTTTTATTGACTTCAATTTGCCAACTAGATAATACATTCCCATTCTTTAAATTTTAATATACATAAAAGGGTACACAGTGTGAAGGCTCCCTCCAGCCCAGGCCCTTCAGCCATCCTTCCCCTCATGCCCATAACCACTGTTCATAGTTTTCCTTCTACAGGTATTTTATGCATATTCAAGCAGATATATGTCTGTTTTTTGAACAAAAAAGGTTTTAAAACATAACTATACATAATTTTACAGCTTGCTTTTGTTGGCTTTCAATAGCAAATCTTGAAGAACTTTCTATAATGTATATATAATGATTTATTTTATTCTCCTTTATGGCTATTTATGATATTTTACTTTGTCACCCACAATCTTTTTTAAAAAATGGTCCTTTATTGTTCGATATTTTGACTGCAGTCCTTTGCTACAGTGAATAACTTTCATATGTATATAAAAGAATTTCAGGGGTGCCTGGGTGGCTCAGTCGGTTAAGCGTCCGACTTCGGCTCAGGTCATGATCTCACGGTCCCTGAGTTCAAGCCCCGCATCGGGCTCTGGGCTGACAGCTCAGAGCCTGGAGCCTGTTTCAGATTCTGTGTCTCCCTCTCTCTCTGACCCTCCCCCGTTCATGCTCTGTCTCTCCCTGTCTCAAAAATAAATAAACATTAAAAAAAAATTAAAAAAAAAAAAAAAAGAATTTCATGTGTGCAGGAATATATATGGAGGACTCCTACAAGTGGAGTCAATATTTCTTTGAAAATTATAGAGAATATTTTTTTAATGTAAGTTAGCCGTGTACATTTTTTTGTAATTGTGTGTTCAGGACACGAGAAATAGATGATATGGTCAACTTATCCAAACAGAGCTTTTCAGTACAGCAAAACTGAGAATTTCTTCTCTTCTAAAAAAACCATTAAGAAAACAGAACCAGACCATGGACTGGGAAAAAAAAATATTTTCATTATGCATATAAAACAAAGGAATTGCATTCTTCATATATAAGAAACCTTGTTAGAAATTTATAATTAAAAGATAACCCAATTTTAAATATGGTCGAATGATTTGAATTGACATATCATGATAGATGATATTTGAATAGCTAGTTAAGCATATGAAAAAATAGAGGGAAAGGCACGTTAAAGCTAGATGAGACACCAGTGCATGGCTAAAACTAGACAGCTTATGGTATCAAATGTTGACAAGAATGTGGATCACCAGCCTCTTGTACATTGCTGGTGGGAGGGGAAAATGATAGTCACTTTGGCAAACTGTTTAGCAGTTTCTTAGGCTAAGCATATATATACCCACTTAGTAACCCAGAAATTCTACTAGATATTAGTACTCAGTAGTACACAATAGAATGCTACTCTGTGATACAAGAGAATGGTGTGATAAACACAGCAGTGTGAATGAATCTCAGAAACATGCAGAGTGAAAGAAGCCAGGGACAAAAAATGTGCATACAGTGTGAGTCCAAACATATGGAGTTGGCGAACTGGCAAAACCATCTCTGGTGATACAAATCAAGACAGTGGTTACCTCTAGGATGTAGGGGGACTGACTAGAAAAGGGACACAAGGGAACTTTCTGGATGATTGAATAGCTTCCTTGGGTTATAAGGGTATATGCATTTGTGAAATTCCATGAATTCTATACTTCAAATCTGAATTTAGTGTGTAAAAACCTCAGTGAAAGGAATATGCAGAAAAATAGGTAAAGATTAAGTTTCTTATAAAACTATAACCCTTTGCTCCTACTTTTTTGCCCCTTTGTAAATCTTTCATTATAGATTGTTAGTAATTATTACATTCTGTGATGGGTTAATGGATGGTTTTGGGCACTTAATTTAAGAAATGGTCAGATTTGGGGGCGCCTGGGTGGCTCAGTCGGTTAAGCGTCTGACTTTGGCTCAGGTCATGATCTCACGGTTCATGAGTTCAAGCCCTGCATCAGGCTCTGTGCTGATGGCTCAGAGCCTGGAGCCTGTTTCAGATTCTGTGTCTCCCTCTCTCTCTGACCCTCCCCTGTTCATGCTCTGTCTCTCTGTCTCAAAAATAAATAAACGTTTAAAAAAAAAATTAAAAAAAATAAAGAAATGGTCAGATTTGGTCAGAAGTGGGTTAAAATTAGTTATTTTTACTTTAAATATAATTTTCAATTTGTAATATAGGACCCATATGAGTCTTTGATTTGAGTCTAAATATTGGAAGTCTGAGAAATAGGTATCTAGTTCAAAAAATTTGAAGCTATATGCTTTTATATCCTGAATTCGTTTTATTGATGGGGAAATTTGGCGACTTTTCTTTTTTAATGTGGTAAGATAAATAGATTCATGAGTAAATGATGTTGTTTATAATTTTTTGAGAATTATTGAACTAAGAATCCAATATTCAGTGAATTCAACAAAAAAAGAATAATGATTTCCATGAATCTGATGCTTTGTCTTTCTCTCTTTTTGGATGGATTTTTTTTTAACTGTTCTAATAATTCTTGCTAACCAGTTTTAATCATGGTATATTTAAATAATCACTGCAGTCCTTCCACATTTTTAATAATCACTCCTGCAAATGTTTACAAAAATATTTTTATTGTAATTCTCAGGAAAGTATTACTGTTTCAGAGGGAGAGTGAAAGATCTGAGCTAGATTAAAGTCTAATCTCGTGGACTTGATAGTTTTCGACAATCTCACCTTCAAGGTGATAAAAGTGGTTTCTAGAGTCCTGACCAATACTCAGTTATACCAATTGAATAAATACCTGATTTTGTTAACAGTTTATCCATTTACCTGGATAATGAAGATGTGGAAAAGGACACCCAGATGAGAAGTACCTTGGAATCTAATGTGTCCACTAATCACCGTCTGACTATAGCTAGGTTACCACAGTAAAACACATGGTTTTTGGTTCATTCTTCATGAACTTTGGCATACTAACACACTGAGTTCGTAACAGAATCTGATAAAATTACTCTTTATTTAAAAACATTTTGTTTTTATTTTGAGAGAAGGGGAGAATCCCGCACAGGCTCCACGCTCAGTGCAGAGCCTGATATGGGGCTTAATCCCATGACCTGAGCTGAATTTGAGTCAGACGCTCAACTGAACTACCCAGACATCCCTATTTTTATTTTTTATTGAAGTATAATTAACATATGCTGTTATATCGGTTCCAGGTGTTCAGTATAATAATTCAACAACTATACTTTACTCAGTGCTCATCATGATAAGTGTATCCTTAATTCCCTTTACACTTTTTAATATACTTTAAAAGCTTAGTTATGTGAACGGTTCTTTTTTTTTTTTATTTTTATTTTTTTTTTTTTATTTTTTTTTTCAACGTTTTTATTTATTTTTGGGACAGAGAGAGACAGAGCATGAACGGGGGAGGGGCAGAGAGAGAGGGAGACACAGAATCGGAAACAGGCTCCAGGCTCCGAGCCATCAGCCCAGAGCCTGACGCGGGGCTCGAACTCACGGACCGCGAGATCGTGACCTGGCTGAAGTCGGACGCTTAACCGACTGCGCCACCCAGGCGCCCCTATGTGAACGGTTCTTTAAGAAACATTTTATATTCTACTTAAACATATTTTATGTGCATGAGAGAGATTGAGGGTAGCATTTATAAATTGGCAAAGCAGCTATAACATACTGTTAAAGTAGGTCATCAAACAGTAACTTAGCAAAGGTTTAGAATAGCTGGACCTCACACAAATAGTTTCAGCATTTAATACATGAGCATAAACCTGTGTTGTTTTCCCATTAAATTTGAGGTACTTGATTACTATTTTACATTACAAAGGATAATTACAGTGATGTGTAGGTGGGGTCATTGGTTTAAAAACATGATTTTCTGTGCTTGATTAAATTATTCATATTTCTCATTTTCAAATGGTTAATGTTCCTTCTCACTTTGGAAGGATTTGTTAACTAGTCTGTAGGTTATTAATGTATGGGATTATATGTTCTTTTTGTCTGGATGGTAGGACATGATTCTAATTTTAAAATGTAGAAATGCAGTTGTGCTTAAAGGATTGCATTGATTAGGCGTGCAAACTTAACGATGGTTCAGAAATTCTCTATAACTGACATTGTGTGAACTGTTTTTAACTTCTTTAGGTAGCAGCTGACTAAAACAGTATTTATACATTCTGGTCATGGTAAAATTTCTTTAATATTTACATGTATTTATTCAGAGAGGCAGAATAGTGCAGTAGTGAAGAGCATTGACTTGGAGCCACACTGCTTTACTAACTCATGACCTTGGCAAGTTACTTAACTTCTAAGTGCTTTTCTTACTTTGTAAAATGAAGATGAAAATAGTACTTACTTTATTTGGTTGTGGTGAGCAATCAGTGAGTTAAAACATGTAAAGTGCTTAAGACAGCACCTGGCATATGGGAAGCATTAGATAAGTATGAGTTGCTGCCGCGATTATTATCTTCATCATCATCATCCTTTTCAAGATTAGCTCTCTTTTAGAGAATAGATTATGATGGTAATTTTTAATGCTAATGATAGGAACTCATTACATAGAAAAGATGTTTTACGTCGTCTCAAAATAAGTAGTTTCAGAAAAAGTTAAAAGTGCTGTAATTAATTCATGAGGTGAAGATAATAACAGCCTTGAAAAATAACTGATAAGTTTGCATGTTCTATTTGGTAATTATGATTATAGTTATTGTGTCCTTGCAATTATTTCCTTGCAGTTGTGTTCCAGGGCATGGGTTAGTATGGCACATGTGTACCAAAGGTGGCACATGGGAAGGGTTGCTTTCCTATGGGACAGCTACCACCACCCCACTTTTCTCTGTGTTCTAGCAACGGCTGTGCCTAAAGCAGCTTATTACTTGAATTTCTCTTCCTATTCAAGAGGCACGTGGGGCAACTCCCTGTGCTCCTATGTCCATGGTCTGCCCTGGCTCAGCTCTCATTCTCTTTCCTGCCACATGAAACCTTAATCTCAGTATTCTGTGATAGGCCCCTTTTAGTGTATTTGGAATTTGTTCAGTGGCTTAAATGTACAGAATTAGATTTTCATTTGATACAGACCACATTAACAACTTTTTTCTTATGTTACCAAATTTATTTTATAATTTCTACTTTCTTTTCAATTCATTAAAATCTGTATTTTAAGAATTGATATTTGTGCTGATGTAACCTGCCTGATGTTTACATTAATATATATTATGGCTACTAGTTTAGGAAAATGAAGCTAATTTTTGGCTTCATGCATAAAGAAGTACCTTTAGGTATAGTCAATTAATTTCACGTGCCCGCCCCAACCACCATCCTCGTTACCACCACCATTCCCTAGTAAAAATATCTCAGAATCTTGGTGCCTGCATTTCTGTCTCTTAAGTTCAGTAATACACTGCATACCTGGACTACAACCGTATTTTCTAGGTGGTCTTACTCTTGCCAATCACTCTTCTCATCAAGTCATGTGGCATACCATTTCCAGTGGTACTTTCTTGATTGTTTAGTAGGTATAAATTATTACCCTTGGATTATAGATTTTCCATCATATGCAATACCAAAATGAACACAAGTTTTGGTATCTTCTGGACACCAGGGTGGGTAGATTCAATGGAAGATTCTTCTGGTTGGTGTTGGTTATATAATTTGTATAGTTGGTTAATGTAACATTAAGCATGTTACAAGTAACTTCTTTTAATTTCTAGCTTGGAGATTTTCTTGATTAAAAAGAATGAAGGACTAACATGGCCAGAGCTAGTGGTTGGTGATAAACAAGGAGAGTTTATAAGAGACTCAGCCCAGTGTGCTGCTATAGCTGAACGTTTGATGCATTTGACCTCTGAAGAACTGGTAAGCAATTGTAATAGTAGGGTGACTTTCCAAAGGCCCGGAAGTATGTTATGTGAGGGTTGTGCCATGTTTTTCAAACATTATTTTACATTTACTAATGTTAGGGACACAGATGAGGCACAGACTGGTGTTTGAATGTAGGTTAAAATTCTAATATTCATTCCTTACACTATGTGAATACATATCTGTGTGTGTGGGATTGCTGTATAAGGTGGATGTGCATGTGTATATTTATATATATGTATACACACACATAGATACATATATATATTCTCCTTTAGAAGAATCAGACCGATATTGGCAGGGACAAAATTAGGATTTTACTGTATACCTATGCCAATAATCTTGTCATCGTAAAATTTTCTAGGTTATCTTAGGATATCACGGGGGTATATATATATACTGCAATTAATTATGATTGACAAAATAATTCATTGTAATGATTACAGTGATAATACACTACTCATTCAACTGTGACATTTTGTTGAAAATATTCCAATCTGATAACTTTTAAGATAATGTTAAAAATTTGAATAAAGCAGGGGTGCCTGGGTGGCTCACTTGGTTAAGTGTCCAACTTCAGCTCAGGTCATGATCTCATGGTTCGTGGGTTAAAGCCCCGTGTGGGCTTTGTGCTGACAGCTCAGAGCCTGGAGCCTGCTTCAGATTCTGTGTCTTCCTCTCTCCTCTCCCCTGCTCGTGCTCTTTCTCTGTCTCAAAAATAAACATTAAAAAAATTTTTTTTAATTGAATAAAACATTATACCAGAATTTCAGTTATATGTTTATTCACCAAAAATTATATCAGCACATGTACAATGTCTGACTTATTGCCATTTGGAGTTAGAGTGATGAGGAAAAAACTGTTAGGAGGTAGTTTATACTATAGGGTTAATTATATCCTAAAGTGGAAAGGAAATTAGAATATTGAAAGTAAATGTCTCTGTCAAAAGAAAACATGGCCAAAATGGAGAAACCAAGTTTCATGTCTGCCAGCAATAGTTAAAAATTTCAGGGGGCACCTGGGTGGCTCAGTCAGTTGAGTGCTCTACTTCGGCTCAGGTCATGATCTTACGGTTCTTGAGTTCAAGCCCCACATCAGGCTCACTGCTGTCACCACAGAGCCTGCTTCAGATCCTTGCCCCCACCCCTCAGCCATTTACACTCTCTCAAAAGTAAAAAATGTTGAAAAAAAAAAATTTCAGGATCACTGGAAAGCATTTGTAAGACTGTGAAACTTTGATCTCCTAGCCCTGGTGTTAAAACAAGCCCATGCAGACTGCATTGCCCTATGTTCATTCATTCAGCAAGTATTTTTTGTGATAGGGCTCTGGGATATAATCATATAGTTACAGTAGTGGGGCTTGTTATGATATTGTAGATTATTGCTGCTAACTGCCTTTTAAACTTGATTATTTCAAGTGAATATTGGTATATATGAGTAAGTTATTTATGTCTGAACACCAGTGTATTTGGGAAAAACATAGAATCTTGTTATCTGCAGCTGAAGGCTGTCTTGCGTGTTTCAAATCTTTATACTTTTTGTTATCTTTCTGCATTGGTTAGAACCTTTAATCCATTGTAAAATAGAAATGGTGAATAGTGAAAGCAGACATTCTTGCCTTATTTGTAAGCTTGGAAAAATGAGTATTTCACTGTTAAGTATGGATTATTTTTGTCATGTTGAGGAAATTTTCTTCTATCATACTGAGTTTTTAATCATGAAAGGCCATATAGAATTTTGTCAAATACACTTCATTTGTGGTGTAAACCTTACTTGGTCATGATGTATAATCCCTTTTAGGTATTACCAGTTTGGGTTTGCTAATATGTTATTGAGGAGTTTTGCATCTATATTTGTGAGGAATATTGGTCTGTAGTCTCTGTTTTTTCTTTTTACTGTTGTTATTCAGTTTTGGTATCTGGGTAATGCTGATGTCAAATGAAAAGGGAAGTGTTTCCTGCTTGTTCTATTTCTGGAAGAGATTGTGTAGAGTTGGCATTATTTCTTTAAATATAGAATTTTCCAGTGAAACTGTCTGGACTGGAGTTTTCTTTTTTGGAAGTTTTTAACCATGAATTTAATTTCTTTATTAAATACAGGATTATACTGGGCATCTATTTCCTTTGGCTTTTTTTCAGTTTCCAGATTCATTTGTTATTACATTGATTATTTTCTCCTTTTTGCTTACTTTGGATTTATTTTGCTCTATTTTTAAAAGTGAAAGTTTAGATGATTGATTTTTTTTTAACCTACTTTTCTGTTGAAAGCATTTAATGCTATATACTTTATTCCAAACACTACTTGACCTACCTCCTCCAAAATTTCAGCCTGTCTTCTTAATCCCATTAAGGATGATTTGATTTGGTGCTGTATTTCAGTATTTTATGTGGCTGATATTTATTCCTTGTTTGTTCTTTCTACTAGGGCAGAACTTTTCATGAATCTCAACTGAAAGTCTAGGATGTTTACCAGGGCTTCTCCGGTGTGGGCTCTGATCTCTAATTTTTGTCTCCCAAGCACTTTATTAATATCAGCACTCAGCTTTTGAGCCCCTTGCCTGCTTCTTTCCACTTGTCTTTTCCAGCACAGCTTGAAAATCAGTAAATGCCTAAAGACAAGTAGCAGAATCTTGGGTTCTCTTCTCTGCTGTTCCCCTTTCTCTGTAAACTTGTCCTGTTAAATTCTGGCTGCCTTGATAGTACTGAACTTTTTTTTTTTTAACATGTTATTTATTTTTGAGAGACAGCAGGGGAGGGGGAGAGAGAGACAGAGACAGAATCTGAAGCAGGCTCCAGGCTCTGAGCTGTCAGCACAGAGCCTAATACAGGGCTTGAACCCAAAAACCGTGTGATCATGACCTGAGCTGAAGTCGGATACTTAACTGAACCACCCAGGCGCCCTGATAGTCCTGAACTTTTCATTTTTGTCCTCTTGTCTTTAACATATAGTTAATGGAAAAGGGAAAGGAGGGAGGAGTGCAGAGGGTGCCTTCTCTATGCTACTGGACATATGTATATTTTTGAATCGCTGAAAAAATGGCCCCAGCTAATTGCTGATATTGCCTTCCCAGCCAATCATAGCAACCAGACTTGTTTCCATTGATATTTAGGCTGACTAAACTAGGTGGCTCCAAATCCCAGGTGGACATGGACAAGGTTCATCTTCTATCACTTCTATAACTCCAGAGATTTAGTTTCAGAGATTTTCTCAGGTCATTTCATCAAGTTTTCAATAACATGACTGCATTTTGGCAAACGAGGTGTGTGGACATTTGGTCAGTTGTAGAATTATGGTTCTGTTACATACATGTGTATACATAATTCATAATGCATGTATATGTGCAATTTATCACTTCAGCATTGTGATCCTTGTACTCTGTGAGGGATATAAGGCCAGAGAGTACTTCTTGCATTTAAGCAATGGAACATATTAAAAGTACCTTACGTTTATCTCTACTTTTGGCTTATTAGCTACACCTTTGTTTTTGTATTAGTGTGTATGTGTGTATTTAGTGGTTGTTCTAGAGTTTACACTGTACATCTTTAACTCATCACCATCTTTCTTCAAAAATTATTACATCATTTCACTGTAACTAAAGAGCTTCACAATATATTTCCATTTCTTCATCCTTTCTGTTATTCTCATCAGACATTTTATTTTTACATGTTATAAACTCAATAACGTTATTATTTCAACTTTAATCAGTCAGTTCTTTTTTAAAGAGATTAAAATATGGGGGGGGGTCTTACATTGGCCCACATATTACACATTTCCTCTGTTCTACATTTCTTTGTGTTGATTCATATTTCCATCTGTTGTCATTTTTTTCCTGGCTGAATAGTGTCCTTTAGCATTTCTTGTAGTGTAGGTTTACTGAGTGAATTTTCTCAGCTTTTGTTTGCTGTAAAAATACTTAGGTTGTCTTCCTTTTTTAATATTTTTGGTAAGTATATAAGTCAATGTCGATAGGATTTTTCCCCCTTTCAGAACTTCTGTTATACTCCATTGTTTTCTGGCTTGCATAGTTTCTGATGAGAAGTTGGCTGTCATTTGTATCTTTGTTCCTCTGTTCATAATGTGTTTTTTCCTCTTCTCACTACTTTTAAGATATTCTCTTTATTACTAGTTTGCAGCAATTTCATTATAATGTGATTTGCAGTGGGTTTTTTAGATGTTTCTTTGACCTTCTTCAATTTATAGAGTTACAGTTTTCATCATTTAATGACCATTTCTTCAATTTTGTTTTTCCATTCTTCGTGCCCTCTTCTAGTTACCCATGTGTTACACCATTTGATATTTGTTCCACAGGTCATTGCAGTTGTGTTTTTATTTTTTGTCCTCTGTGTTTCATTTTAGATAGACTCTCTTGCTGTGTTTCAAGCTCACAGGTCTTCTGCCGTGTCTAATTAGCTGTCAATCCCATCTTTTTTTGCTTTCCACTTCAGATATTATATTCTCATATTTACAGTTCAGTTTGGTTCTTTTTTTATATCTTCCATACCTCTCTCAACATATATGTACTTTTCTGTACATCCTTGATTTTGTAATAACTGTTTTAATGTCTTTGTGGTGATTTCATCATTCTGTCATTTCTGGGTTTTGTTGATTAGGATTTATCAGTCATGGGTCTGAAATTTAGTTTTTAATTACTGTTGTAATCTTGATATTTTAAGTATGAAGAAACCCATTCTCTTATTGTTGATGGTTTGTTTATTTTGTTTTCTGGCCTAAGAATCCAAATCCAGATAAAGAGAAACCTCCTTGTAATGCTCAAGAGTTAGAAGAATGTGATATTTTCTTTGAAGAGAGCTCCAGTTTATGCAGATTCGATGGCATTACATTAAAAACTACTCATGTGGTAAGTTTTTGATCATCATATTTCTAAAAATTTATGAATAAGTACAAGTTATAGGAGATAATAATTAACTGGCCACATATATAATTTGCAAACCTGGCTTGATTGCAAAGCTGAACAGCAAAGTAAATGACAAGAAAACCCTTGAACTTTTTGTTTGATCTTTACGAATTGGTGTGCAAGATACAGGATTTTTAGTCTGTTTTTGGTTTGTTTTTTACTGTTGACTGTTTTATAATATTTGGTGTTTGGGGTTGGGTGGCTATCATCTAAAACTCATTACTTCATGAAGTGGCAGTTTATATCACCATCCCTAATGAAACACTGTTGCCTTATTTTGGTACTGTTGCATATTTGATATCTTGTGGTATGCTTTTTTCTGTTTAGGTTTTTATATGTGGTTACAACTAATTTATAATAACCTCATTTTTTCATTTGAAATTATGACATATTTCTTTATGTTCTCACCTGGTTTAACAGCTAGGTAATACTATACAATGTTATTGTTGGTGTTCATGTGTGTATGTATATGTAGTGGTTGTCCTAGAGATTATAGTATGTATCTTCAGTAAATTTTTTCCAATTGCATTATTTATATGCTATTTTTTTTAAGAATCCCTTCTTACGTAAAGCCATTTCTGTATTCAGGGGTTTTATCTAATAGAGTTACAGAAGTCCAATTAATGAGTCCTGGACTAAGGCTCTGACAAGTCGATTTCCACTGTATATTCTCATTAATAATGTTTGCAGTTATTACCTATTTCACTGCATCTTTACCTGTCCTTTCGTTTTTATGTTTGATCTTTACTAATTGGTGTGCAAGATACAGGATTTTTAGTCTGTTTTTTTTTGCTGTTGACTGTTGACTATTTCATGATATTACCTTTCACTATTTCTTTTGTGAAGAATTTTTTCATTTATTTATTTTGGTGTTTCTGACTGACTTGTGTGACCTTACTTCTTCATAAAATGTGTTCCTAAAGAGCATGCATGATAGATTTCTCTTATAAGTAGGTTCTATCATCAGAAAGTTAAGAAATGTACATATAATCCCTCATTGTACCATAGTTTTTAGAGACAATGTTTGATAAAACATTTCCAGCATTTTGCACATACTCAAACTGTTTAGTCACAGTTCAGTGTTAATTGCTGGTTTAACTCCAATGATTTGCTGTTTGTATATATTGCAAGATGACACCAATGATTTGCTGTTTGTATATATTGCAAGATGACCACATAGTAAGTCTAGTTAAATTTTCTCACCATACATACCTATAAATTCTTTCTCGTATAATGAGAACGTTTAAGGTCTACTCTGTTAACAATTTCATATATTAAGTACAGTATTAACTAATAGTCATCATGCTATAAATTATAATCCCCTATACTTATTTATAATAAATGGAAGATTATGCCTTTGACACCCTTAATCCATCCCCCAGCCACCGTCAGATATGAGATGTAGAGGAAGGGAGAGAGAATCTTAAGTAGGTTTCGTGCCCATCATGGAGCCCAACATGGGCTCGGTCTCATGACCATGAAATCATGACCTGACCCGAAATCAAGAGTTGTACGCTTAACCAGCTGAGCCACCCAGGAACCCCTGATTTACGTTTCTTGATGCTTACTGTTGTTGAGCACCTTTTCATATATGTACAAGTTGACCATATTTAGGTCTTCTTTGGAAAAAGGTCTGTTTAGTTTCTCTAATCATTTTTTTAAATTGCATTATTTTTTGCTATTTAGTTACAGGAGTTCTTTATAAATTTTGGATGTTAACCCCTTATCCAGATATATAATTTACGAATATTTTTTTTCCCATTCAGTAGGTTGCATTTTCATTTTGTTGACCATTTCCTTTGCTGTTAAGACTTTTAGTTTGAAATAGTCCCATTTGTTACTTTTGCTTCTGTTGCTTTTGCTCCAGAATACCATTGCCAAGACTGAGGTCAAGAAGTTCACGGGCTCTGTTTTATTCTAGGAATTTCAGGCCTTATGTTCAACTTTTTAATCCATTTGAGTGCGTTTTTGTGTATGATATAAAGATAGTGGTCCAGTTTTGTTTTTTTGCATGTGGCTATCCAGTTTTCCCAAAACCATTTGTTGAAAAGACTGTCCTTTCCCCCATTGTATATTCTTGGCTCCTTTATCATAAATTGACCATGTATGGATAGGTTTACTTCTGGGCTCTCTGTTCCTTTGGACTCTGTGTCTGTTTCTTATTTTTTACTTTTTTATTTATTTATTTATTTATTTATTTTTAATTTTTTTTTTCAACATTTATTTATTTTTCGGAGAGAGACAGAGCATGAACGGGGGAGGGGCAGAGAGAGAGGGAGACACAGAATCGGAAACAGGCTCCAGGCTCTGAGCCATCAGCCCAGAGCCTGACATGGGGCTCGAACTCACGGACCGCGAGATCGTGACCTGGCTGAAGTCGGACGCTCAACCGACTGCGCCACCCAGGCACCCCTACTTTTTTAAATATTTACTTATTTTGGGGGGGGGGGGAGAGAATGAGCAGGGGAGGGGCAGAGAGAGAGAGGGAGAGAGAGAATCCGAAGCAGGCTCTGTACTATGCAGGGCTCAATCCCACAAACAATGAGATTATGACCTGAGCCAAAATCAAAAGTCATATGCTTAACTGTCTGAGCCACCCAGATGCCCCAGGACTCTGTGTCTATTTTTATACCAGTACTATACTATTTTGATTACTATAGCTTTGTAGTATAGTTTGAACTTAGGAAACTTTTTTAAGATTGCTTTGGCTATTTGGGATATTTTCTGGTTCCACACAAATTTTTGGATTTTGTTCTGTTTCTTGGAAAAGTGCCATTTAGAATTTTGATAGTTTTATTGACTCTGTAGATTGCTTTGGTAATATGGACATTTTAACAATTTTTTCCAATAAATAAATGTGGAATATCTTCCCATTTATTTTTGTCTTCAGTTTCTTTCATTGGAGTTTTAACAGTTTTCAGTTTAGAAGTTATTCACCTCCTTGGTTAAATTTATCCCTATTTTATTCTTTTTGATGAAATTGTTAATGAGATTGTTTTGTTGATTTCTCTTTCCAGCAGTATGTATGTATACTGTACGTATGTAACTGATATAGAGAAACACAACAGCATTCTGTGTATTACCTTTATATCCTGCAACTTTACTGAATTTATTAATTGTAATAATTTTTTTAGTAGAGTCTTTAGGGTTTTCTATATAATGTCACATCATCTACAAATAGTGATAGTTTTACTTCTTCCTTTCTGATTTGGATGCCTTTTTATTTCTTTTTCCTACCTAATTGCCCTGCTTAGGACTTCCAATACTATGTTGAATAAAAGTGGTAAGAGTGGGCATCCTTTTCTTGTTGATGATCTTAGAGGAAAAGGTTTTAGCTTTTCACTGTTGAGTTTGATATTAGCTGTGGGCTTGTCATATATGGCATTTATTATGTTATATTCCCTTTGTACCCACTTTTTGAGAGTTTTTGTAAATGTTGAATTTTGTCAAATGCTTTTTTCTGCATGTATTGACATGATCATACAATTTTTATTCTTAATTTTGTTAACGTGGAATATCTCATTAATTTTCAGATACTAAACCCTCCTTGCATCCCTGCAGTAAACCTCATCCCTGCAGTTTACTTGCAGTAAAGCAAATTTATATATTTAGGTGCTCCTGTGTTGGTGTCGTAATATTTACAAATGTTATATTCTCTTGTTAGAGTGACCTTTTTATCATTATTTAATGATTTGCCTCTTATTACATTCTTTGCCTTCAAGTCTGTTGTCTGATGTAAGTATAGCTTACCCCAGCTTTCTTTTGGTTTCCACTGAATGGAATATCTTTTGCGGTCTCTTCACTTTCAACTTTGTGTGTCTTTACTTCTGAAGGGAGTCTCTTCTAGGCAGCATATAGATGGGTCTTATTTTTTTTCTTTCAGTCACTCTATGTATTGAGAATTTAATCTATTTACATTCAGATTAATTATCGATAGGTGTGTACTTATTGCCATTTTGCTACTTAATTTTCTGGCTGTTTTGTAGTTTTTCTGTTCCTTCTCTGTCTTCCTTTGTGATCTGATGATTTTCTATAGTGGTATGCTTAAACTCCTTTATCTTTTATGTATCTACTGTAGGTTTTTGCTTAATGGTTATCATGAGGTTTACATTTATTTTTTTTTTCAGTTTATTTATTTATTTTGAGAGGGAGAGAGCATGTGCATGAGCAGGGGAGGGGCAGAGAGAGAATCCCAAGGAGAGGCTGTGTGCTGAGATCATGACCTGAGCCAAAATCAAGAGTCAGACACCTAACCAACTGAGCCACCCAGGTGCCCCAATGAGGTTTATATTTAAAAGCTTAGATTTTGGGGCGCCTGGGTGGTGCAGTCGGTTAAGCGTCCGACTTCAACCAGGTCACGATCTCGCAGTCCTTGAGTTCGAGCCCCGCGTCAGGCTCTGGCTGATGGCTCGGAGCCTGGAGCCTGTTTCCGATTCTGTGTCTCCCTCTCTCTCTGCCCCTTCCCCGTTCATGCTCTGTCTCTCTCTATCCCAAAAATAAATAAACGTTGAAAAAAAAATTTTTTTTAAAAAAAAATAAAAGCTTAGATTTATAACCATTTGTTTTATGTTGATAACAGCTTAAGTCTGAATGCATTTTAAAGCTATACATTTTTACTCCCTGAAACATTTTATGTTTTTGATGTCACAATTTATATTTTTTTATCTTGTGTATCCCATAATAAATTACTGTAGTTGCGTTTTTGCAACGTTTGCCATTTAACTTTTATGCTACCTTTCTAGGTAATTAACTTGCTATCTTCACATTAGATTTTGAAAGTTATTGTGCATTTACCTTTACCAGTGAGGTTTATATTTCCATACGGTTTTCTGTTACTATTTGCCATCCTTTTTGTTCAGCTTAAAGAAGTCCCTTGACATTTCTTATAGGGCCAGTCTAGGACTGATGAATTCCTTCACCTTTTGCTTCTCTGGAAAACTGTT